TGGATTGGTTGGATGGGCAGTTCTTGCTAACCATACGGTCAAGCTGCTCCCACAACAGCTCAATGGGGTTCAGATCTGGTGACTGCGCTGGCCACACCATTACCGATTGAATACCAGCTGCCTGCTTCTGCTCTAAATAGTTCTTGCACAATTTGGAGGTGTGTGTGTGTCAAGCTCTGTCCACTGGGTATGGCATGGCATTGCAAAATGGAGTGATAGCCTTCCTTATTCAGAATCTTTTGGAACCCCTTCTCAAGCTGTTTATTAATGTAAAACATGAAAAAAAGATTATATATATATATATATTCTCATGTTTTACATTAATAAACAGCTTGAGAAAGCTAACTAGAACACACAAATAATTAAGGTTTCAACCAAACGTATGCCTTATGGTTTGGCTAGAATCCAAGTTTGACTCCTTTAATTGCATGAAGAAACAGAAACACCCAGAAGACATGTTAGAGAGCGAATATTGAAGGAGAAATTAAAAGCTTTCTCAAAAACAGACCATGGACACATCGGATTTAGTAATAAATAGATTTGTTTCTTTATTTACAAAACATCTTCAAAAGCCAAAATGTCAGTAACAGACATTAACAAGCATGCAGAGGATAAAATATGTACAGCTATGAACAATATTTACAAACAGTGGTTATTCTATGAACACAAAACGACCTCAATTATATTTCCTGTGCTGTCTAACTGAAGTCACGTTAGCGCAGCAGAAGCAATGGCTGGTTGTCCACAGGCTGATGAGCAGGTTTATGGCTCTTCTACAGCCCCAACATGAAACACACTGAGACATCTCAGTAAAAGGCACTCATTTGCTGCAGTACAAAGACACTGACTAATACCTGCTTTTTTTAACGTAATACTGCGAGTGCACGTGGCATCCATTCATCAGGAATGCTGATATAACATAAATTAGTCCTGAGAGCATGTGAACATACATGTGATGGGATACAGAGCATTAGACGTGGCTCTCTTGGTCCCACATGGCTGCATTAAACCAGAGAAGGAATGTTAAATGTTAAAGGTAGCTGTCGGATGCAGACTTTTGATCGCAAATCACCAGCTTAGGTTTCCAACTTAAAAACATGTGGGGAAAATATAAAGAGGACTTTGCAAGAATGCTGCAGGATCATGCAGCGTTCGGATCCGACATTTCTATTAAGCTGGTGAAACATAACCAGTACTAGAAAACATGCAAAAATACTTATTTTGACACAGAAACTAAAAGAGAATCTGCTGCAAATCTTAAAATAATGCAACCTTCTTAGGGGGACACTCAAGTGGTTGACTGGGTGCATGTACAGCTTACTGTGGAAGTAAAATGAAAGGTTTATAAGACTGTGTGCTAACAGCAATATTGGTGCAGCAACAAATAATAAACCAACAGCTGCAGTTAGAGGTAAAATAAACCCTGTCAATAGACCATTGATGAATCTGTCCTATATACTTGAAATGATAAATAGCACAGATGTAATGAATCTCCATTAAAAGTGCTTCATATTGGACAAATATGACTGTTTCTATGACTACTTCTCAACACAAGCCAAAACAGAGCATTGGGACGTTTCAAAGAATATGAAAATAATCCAAATAAAGCCAAAAGAAAATATCATTCTGGTCAGAAAAAAAAAACCCTTGCCAAGTTTCATCACCAGGATCACAGTTCAAATGTGTCATTTGAGTTTTTTTACAACGACAAACCTGCAGAACACAAACACAAACGTGAGCTTTCCATGCTGTCATTTTCACAGTAAAGCACTTGTTGGTTGGTGAGGATATAGTGGTTTAAGGCTGTGGGATGTGCACTGAAGGAGGTAAAAAAAAACAAAAACAACTAAAGGCCTCTGAATGGCACCGGTCACTGAGGCACTTTATTGCCACTTTGTACTTCCTTTTTCAGTTTTCACAGAAGGTAGGGTTGTCTGCCTCTTCATCCAAGCTCACAATCTGTCTCTGAAGAAAAGGGAAGAGAAAGAAAAAGGATGTCAGACGTGCAACAGATTGTACCAGGCCGTGCAATAGTTATCACAATAACAACCCTAAAACTTTTTAACATTTTCCTCTTTACAACCATCACCTTCATTGCATTTTAACACTATTTTACGTGATAGCCTGGCAAAAAAATAAAAAAAGTGCGGAATTTATTTACATTCCATTGTCTTTAAACTGATACTCCTAAATAGAATGGAAGAGCGACGAGTAGAACACCATAAAAAGTAACCAAAAGTCTAGTTAGCACTTATCTATAGGGCCCTATAAGGCAGGAGGAGTCGTAGGGAATCAGAATCAGAATCAGAATCAGAATCAGAATCAG